GTAAGTTAACATTGCATGTCTTTCTGACATCTGTCGAGATATTAACATTCGCTATGTATAACAGCATACTACAGTATAATACCGGGGTTATCTTGTTCAGTGTTACATACCTGACAGGTAACCAAACACACTCAGTAACAACAAGCCAAGTGTAGATACGGCCAATACCTGCAGGACAGGTTTTACTGTTTGTGTTCGGGTAAGTTCACAACAGCTGCTTATGAATGTGTCAGAATGTAAAATTCCTTTCTTCAGTGATCCCCATGTCGCGACGACCTTGTAAATAGTCTATAGTTGATCGGGAAAATTATATAACTGCACGTACCAACAAACATGGGCTGATTCGTGGATAACGGGTGTCTCTGCTGAGTGTTGTAAACGACTTTGTCGGAACACGTCACATTAAGACCGATAGTGACATACTGATACTGACTTTTGTATTTCATATATGGTTTGTCTATTCTCTTATCAAAAGAAACATACCCTTGAGACTTCTAGAAACAACTTTTGACTTTGAACGTCAGCATGTATACTATGTTCTCAAACAACATTTACACAGTCGTATGAGTTACGTATTGACACAACTGATCACAGCGTCAGACCATATACAGTAGTGTAACGCTGTGTTACAAATGTAGGACATATTGGGAATCATCAAACTATATCTTCTGATCCAAGACGGCAAAAGTTAGACACTGCATGTACAGATTCTCGTCTAATGCATGTTTCAACAAACATTACGAGCATCTTAGCGGGTTTGGAAGATTTACAGGGAAAGCAGACATAGAGAGAAGTGATCGTGTACAGGCATTGGACCATGGGGTCATTTTACCATGTGTAAGATAAAGCTGCTGTGTTTTGAAATTAGAGGTAGTATAACGGAATCATAATGGCTCTAAATTTAATCGAAAACCTCACGGTTACGGGTTCGGTTTTAATTTAAATTTAGAACCGTCAACTCTATTCTACCGTGACAATTTTGTGAACATTTTCAGCTGGAACCATTTTTTTTTGGTAACGCGTCAATACCTTATGCGGCCTCGCATTCCAAACTCAATTGATATCGCCCCAAAATAGGGTGATTGGTGGTAAAGCCTTCAATAACGACGCAGACCCTTTACCCAACCGAATAATGACCTTGACCTATTTTCGGAAGTTATTGTGTACCGTGACGACACCGCTTTGTGTACCGCTTCTGACAATTTGTGCAAGGTTAACCTGCTTGTATGACTGATAAAAAGTCTCTCATATCTAATTATTGGTAAGTGCAAAATTTAAGAGTTGAGGCCCTTTTTGCTGTGATGAGGTGTCCGTGTTCAACGAATTTACTGTTGAACCTTGTGCCCTGTCAACGTAACAGTTTTACGCGCCTCAGAAGAGTCACTGCGGTGGCTTAAACTCACTCATTTGTGTACCGTGTGCTCAAATTCGATTCTATGGGAACTATTTCCTACATTTTGGAAAGTGTGCTATACCCTAATGGCGTCAAAGTGTACAAGATTGTACTGGATTCGCTGGCATGAGGCTGGATATTTCCGATAGGTTTGAATAGCACATAAGGGTGTACCTCTGGTATAAACACGGTAAGGTAATTAATCATACTTTAACAGATTACTTTAGATCAAGCAGTGTAATGGATCAGAGGGGTCGTGATTACAAAATCAGTGATATACTAAATCAGTTTTTTAACGATATTATACATTTTAGAAAAAAATATGTTGGGCTATACAGACTGGTAGTAAGTAAATTTTACAACTTCGGTTATTGTGTTATACAACAGGCAAATTTGAAACAGTGCATATTTCGCATTAATATATTATTTTTATTGAATTGATAGCCCACTGTCTATATCTATGTGGACGGAAGGTTTCCCTCGGCGTTCGATGTTAATCGATTACGTTGACGATAATCAGCAGCCATAACTGCCTGCAACATTCTGCTGTGATACATTTTACACAACTAGTACATGCACGTTGTGACCTCAAACTACTAAATCCACAAATACTTCAAGCGGGATCAGGATAAAGACTGACATAGTGTAACCGGTGCTTGTCATTGGACAAATATCAGGCCGATAGTGGCTGGGCAAGTTTATAGGAAGGTGTGTTTGTTTCATGATCCTTCAAAAAAAAGTTTAATGGTGGTCACATTGCAGTGATATGCACCCCACCTAAGGAAGAGTATACTAGAATTCGAAATGACAATGAGTAAAGCGGTTTGATTTATTGCTTGTCTAAATGTCCTGCAACGTTGAAGAGATTTGAAGGCATCCAATGATGCAACTGCACAGCGTTTGTACATTTACAAATGAAGGAGAGTGGCACCAAAATACAGAAATTGTAAAACACTTAACATTCCTAACACCGTAGTCTATCAAGCACCTTCCTAACACCTTGGTCTATCAAACACCCTCCTAACACCTTAGTCTATCAAACACCTATCAAACACCCTCCTAACACCGTAGTCTATCAAAATATAGTTAGACTGCAGGTCTATAGTAAATGCAAACTCTGTATCATCCACAACAGAATACAAGCAGCTAATGCACTGATACCAGCGTTAACGCCTTTGTTGTGGATAAACTGGCTTCCACGTGTATTCCCTTGTCACTGGCTTCTTCAAGTAATTCCTTGTCATCACATTGTACTGTACAATAAACCGTTTTTTTGGTATTTACTCTCTCTCTCCATCTCTTTCTCTCTCTCTCTGATATAAGTTTAATACTGGCGATGAATGCATTATGTATGGTGATTATTCAAGTGAACAGAACTATATCACAAAGGCAAAGTAAATTTCTGAAGAAACTTCCTTTTCTTCCAGTCACCTCCGCATTTATATTCTTAAAACAAGAGACCTCCATCGTCTTTTGTACTGGAAAAGCTCCATACAAATCCGTACACGAAAGTTATGTAAGATATGTTATATTTGGGGTTACACATTCTTTGTCAAGTACATATTCTGGTACTTTTGTTGGGTTGAGTCCCATTCGGGATTCGAACCCACACAGACAGAGTCAGGCACCTAATCGCCAGCACACAAAGTCAGACATCTAACCCGCTCACCTACCGCGGCTTCCACAAAAATGGAAGTCTGACAACTGGTAGTCTAGACAACGGAAAGATATGTTGCCGAATCCAGCATATTTTCTACCAAATACACATCTCCATAATACTGTCAACGAGTGAGTGAGTGTGGGTGACTTAAGTTTTTCGCCGTACTCGGCAATATTCAAGTTATATGTCGACGTTCTGTAAATAATCGAGTCTGGACAAGACAATCCAGTGATAAACAGCATAATCATCGATCTATGCAAATCAGCGAGCCTGACCACCCGATCCCATTAGTTGCCTCTTACGACAAGTAGTCTGATAATCAAAGAAATCTATTTGAGACAGCGGAATGTTGGTACTTAAACATTACCAGGGATTGCTTGAAATTTTACAGTCATCTCAGAGTTCAGTTGTGTCCAACATTATGGTTTTTCAACGGTGTACACAACTATCCGACATTACAAGCCTCTGACAAAACTTCAATCCTGAATACAAGAAACAAGACAACACATTATGTAGTACCTCTACACATGTCGCTTCATCCCAACCACGTGAACCTTGTCCAGTTACTGATACAAGAGTAACAGTTGTACAACATACATACATTCTTGGAGCCTACGAACAATATCTAGTATGGACGTTTTGTGTAAGATGGGATGCGGTTTAGTCTCCCAAACACAAAATCATGTTTCTGATTAGTTTCACATTGATTCTCCTTTAGACAGTTTATTTAGCTGACAGTACATGTTGACTCCCAAGTTGAAACTACACTTCTTCTTGTGTTGTCAGTTTGATATAATATAATTGCTCATGTGGCCATATTGCACACAAGAACCAAGAGGTGTGGGACAATGACAGCTCCTGACTATTTCTGATATAATACTTCTATTACAAACAGCTGTCCTGATGGTGCAAACGCATACCAGTGTCACTGTCTATCTCTGATGTAATACTTCTTTTACAGACAGCTGTCCTGATGGTACATACGGCTACCAGTGTCACTGTCTATCTCTGATGTAATACTTCTGTTACAGGCAGCTGTCCTGTTGGAACATACGGCTACCAGTGTCACTGTCTATCTCTGATGTAATACTTCTGTTACAGGCAGCTGTCTTCATGGTACATACGGCTACCAGTGTTACTGTCTATCTCTGATGTAATACTTCTGTTACAGGCAGCTGTCCTGATGGTGCATACGGCTACCTGTGTCATTGTCTATCTCTGATGTAATACTTCTGTTACAGACAGCTGTCCTGATGGTACATACGGCTACCAGTGTCACTGTCTATCTCTGATGTAATACTTCTGTTACAGACAACTGTCCTGATGGTACATACGGCTACCAGTGTCACTGTCTATCTCTGATGTAATACTTCTGTTACAGACAGCTGTCCTGATGGTACATATAGCTACCAGTGTCACTGTCTATCTCTGATGTAATACTTCTGTTACAGACAGCTGTCCTGATGGTACATACGGCTACCAGTGTCACTGTCTGTCTGTGATGTAATACTTCTGTTAAAGACAGCTGCCCTGATGGTACATACGGCTACCAGTGTCACTGTCTGTCTCTGATGTAATACTTCTGTTACAGACAGCTGTCCTGCTGGTACATACGGCTACAACTGTGGTTACACATGTAACTGTGACCAGGATAAGTGTGACCCTACTTCCGGTTGCAGTCCGCCAAACTGTTCCCAAGGGTGGTCTGGTTCGACATGTCAGAAACGTATGTAACTACATCAGCATTCACAACTCCTGACACGGTAACTTAATCAAAGCTGAATTTATGTTTACTTTGGAGTCACACAGTTCTCTTCTTTTGGCTACTGATAAAGCTTACATACTCTGTTATGTCACATCCATTAAGAATCTCGCTGTTTAAAGGAAACACTGCTTGTTTCGTCACTGTTACGTTTTCGTGTCTTCTGAGCTCTTGGAACCTTGTGG